GTGTGTGTGTGTGTGTGTGTGTGTGTGTGTGTGTGTGTGTGTGTGTGAACTATGTGAAGGTCTTGCTCCGCCGTGGTGATTTATAGCGGCGGGCTCTGGCCCTATCTGTTTTCGATCAGTCTCATGCTTGGCTCTGGCTTCCCTCCAGCTCTCCCCTGGCCCACCGGACGTCGAGTCTGGGTGGGACCCCTCCAATGCTGCCTGGAACCAGCACCACAAACGCACTCTCCCGTACTGTTTAATTCCCCCAAAACTTCTCCGTCTCACTGTGCTTCTCCCCTGCTGTCTCATGTACACACAGTTTCACAATCTCTACCCAGCGTACTCGCGCACAAACACACTCGGTCACTCTCACTTATTCTCCCTCTGACTGTCTCTCTCTTCCTTTGTCTCACTCTTTGCTCTCACGCTCTTGCTCGCCATCAGACACCGGCCTCAAGCACTCAATCACATGCAAACATGCAAACATCCTCACAGGCACGCCCACGCACACCCAGGCAGACAATCACACACACTCACATGGCTTACATTCACTGCCCCTTCCCAACAAACCCCCCACCCCTCCCAAAAAAAAAAAAGAATACACAATTTTCTTTGTCCACAGCTGATGTCATTTTGGCTAACACCTTTCATTTTTTGTGAAACATTCAGAATGTGCAGGCCTGCGAGGTTTACTTGTGTAAATTCTAATTAAAGTTGTCATCAGGATTGGGAGGGGGGGAGAAAAATCCTAACAGTTGTGTCATTTGCTGGCGTGGGCCAGTTTGTTGTAGTATGAGTAATAAGTCCTGGACTTCATTGCTGTTTTCTTCAGCTTTTCTGCTCCTCTGGAAAGGAAAGCGAACTTCATTGGTCCTAATGGGGAATCTTGTTTGCGGGGTCTAAGAAACCTTAGACGGGAGTAAGCTACAAGTGCGCAAAACTCTCTTTCTTTGTATGTGTGTGTGCATCTGTGATGGTAATGTTAACTCAAACAGGAAGTGGCCCGTCAGTCATGCGCTCACTCCAGCGCTTTCTCCCAGCTGTTAGACCCGTATGCACAAACAAGCACACATGGATGTACGCACACACACACACACACACACACACACACACACACA